CAATCAATAGCCTTGCTAGTTGATTGAATGAGCAGTAGGAGGAACTTTCGAGATGGGCGTGGCTACTACGAATGATCAGAGTTGGACAACGGACTACAACTTCAAAGAACGATCAACAACTATTTGGCTGGTCAATTCTCGAACTTCGAATAATTAGAAAAGATAAGTGTGAAATAGGATGTTTCGAAAAAGGAAAAGAAGGATATGAAGGTTCATCAATCAATAGTCCTGTGAGTTGATTGGGAGAGCAGAACTCATTCAGATATCAGCTGAGAGGGGTGAGCTCACTTGGTCATTGTTGAGAATCAAACTACAACTTCAGAGAATGATCAAGCAATCAAACCACGACGTCAAATAACAAACGAAGAAATGCAAAGCGAGTAATGTTTTGAGATGCTTCTTCAATCCGGGAGGCTCACAGTGTTTCGAAAAGAAGAAACAATTATAAGAATAGGTTGAGAATCAAGAGTTCTGAGATTCTGAAGTTCGCTGGTGGACACCGCGCATTTTCTATTCACGCGATGGAAATGAAAACGTAGATGTTTCATTTCTCACTTCGCAGAAGAGTTTAACAGTCGTGCACTTGTTCACGTCATTTTCATTCCTCAACACGCAGTTTACGTGTTGAACGGTCGTGCACGCGTAAGGCTTTCAACAGAAAAGGTTCTAACTCAACGAAAAATGGACCAAAATTGATGGGATTTGTTAGAGAGATTACAATTTCCGAGATATATGATAATCGAATGATGTCAACATGATAAACAAACAACAAACAACAACCAGAAAATATTCTTTTCAATTTTTTCAAAGACAAAGTGAAGGATTGATGAGGTCTGAGACTGATATTCCATATGATTACTATAACAATCGATTGACAAGAACCAAGGCGGGAAAAAATCAAAAATTTGAAAAATAACGACACGTCTCACACGAGAAGACCATCACACAGGCGCTAATACTCAGCTACTAATATGAAGACTCAGTTAAGATCCGCATTCGGATCAATGACATGTGAACGAATGGTTAAAAGGTGAGTACAGCGGTTAAGAATGACGTCAAAGATTCGAGCAGGAAGGATTATTCCAACAAATTAGAATTTTCAGCTGCCTGTTAAATCACAATTGGGTAGCGTATAAGACAACTTGTGTGTCTGAAGAAACTACAGACGAGTTGAAAGTCAAACTACTTTACGAACGTGGAATCCTTTGCATCTACTCGTATAGTCTGCAACGAAATGAAAGAGTATAGAAGATATGAATCATCACTCTAACTTACAGTCTTTCGTTTAGGTCTGTACCAGCCAATCAGAGTCAGAGCAGTTTTCCGGGAAACTGGGTTCAAACAGATGGTGAGAAGAGACAAGGCCAGAGAGTTAGCACCCATCAGTAACGAGCAACCATAAATTATGGCTGAACAATTGGAAATTCAGATTTACTTGGTCAATTCAAACTGTACTTGAATTTACAGGGGAAAAAAGCGAAAAGATTAATGCGAAAGGAACACAGACACCTAGTGAAGCGGTACAAACGATCTTCAAGACCAGTTATGTCAAAACAGAGCCAAAACTGTGATTACCTGGATCGTTAGGATCTTCAGCACTTTCAAATGATGACTGGATGCTCCGGTAGACATAAGGCTTTGTTTCCTGTGGATAGTACGGATAATCTCAAATGCAATTGGTAAACCCATCTGAAAGTCATGGAAGAGGTTCAATGACTGCCAGGTTGAGATGAACTTACTACGAGGGTTAATATAATCAACGAAGCGAAATAAACCGGATAGAATATTTCTTTGAAAGTCTTTAG